TGAGGATTCCTACTTACTAAGAGCTTTCATATGAATGGGACTGAAGTTTTCCTAAAAATACATGTGCTTTTTGCAGCTCTCTTGATCTAGTTTCCTCTTCTAGTGTTTTCACTGGCAGATCACTGAAACTGATTTCCAATCTACATTAATTTGATCACCTTGTTGCCTTATCATCATCTTATTTTACTGGATTTAATTTGTTAATATTTTGTTTTAAAATTTCACATTTTTATAAGGCATGTCAGTCTGTAGCTCCAATTTTGGGGGTGTGTGTGGTTTTATCTCAGAGTAATGCTGACTTCATGAAATAAAATTAGGTTTTTTTTTTTACCTCAATATTGTAAAAAACTATGAATGATTATATTTGTCTTCAAAAGTTTAATCATAAATGCAATTTCATTTAAAACAGAATAATGGCATTTACATTTTTCTCTTCTTGAGTCACTTTATAAATTTATGCATTTGAGGGAATTTGTGCATTTCATTAAAATTGCCAAAATTATAGGCATAAAGATAGTCTTAATAACTTCATTTTGTTTTTCTTTTTTAAAAATAAGCATTTATTTTAGAATTTTGCAGATTACAGAAAGCTGTGAAGACAGTACAAAGAATACCCACATCTGTTTCACTCAGTTCTCCCCGTGATGTTTCTTGTACTGTTATTCGAAGTTCATTGAAACCAGGAGTCCAGCTCTGGCACACTGCTCTGAGTTAAGCTCTCAGCCCCACTTGGATTTCCCCATCTTTTCCCCTACTGTTCCCTTCTGTCTCAAGAGCCCACACTGCACTTTGTTGTTACTCTTCTGTCTCCTCTGCTGTATGACTGGTTCCTCAGACTTTGTTTTTTATGAGACTGACACACACTGATCAGTTATATTGTAGAATGTACCAAAATTTGAGTTTGTGTAAATTTTTTCATAATTAGAACACATTTTGGAAAGAATACCAGATATAAAGAATTTTTTCTATCACTGGGTCACATGACAGCCATATAACACCATTGTGATGTTAAACTAAACCCAAAACCTGAATGTTTATCCATGAAACTTACTATAGTTTTCTTTGCAAACCCTATTTTTAATTAATTTTTATGTTTGTATTAGCACAATGGGTTTCCTGATGCCATTTTTGTGTGTAGTTCTTATCCCATGGCCCTCCCCATCTACACAGCCCCTCTTGCTGGTCCTTTCCTCCCTCAATGACCTCCCTTTGCCTTCATATCCATTCATCTTATCATCTGAGAAAACTTTTTTTTTTTTTGGTAAAAGAAGCAAATCACTTAAGCCTACATGTTAATATAAATGCCCTCCTAGAAAGCAGAGCACTGTCAGATATTCCTTGCCTCTCCTCTCCTCTGTATGGAAGACTGGTCTCTTCTCCCCAACTCTCTTTTGATTAGTGACTACACGGGATGTGTTTTTCCATTCGTTTACCTAAGAATTTTTATTTTATTAATGTGGCATGTCTGTGTAAATGTATGTACATGTTTGTACATGGGTACCCACAGTCCCTTGGAGCTGAGTTACAAGTGTTTGTGAGCCACCTGATGTGGGTGATGGTGCTGAGACTCAAACCCTGATTCACTATTGAGTAGCAAGCTCTCTTAACTGCTAAGCCATCTCTCCAGCCCCAATTCTTTCACTTTTTAATCTTAATCTTTATATTTAAAGACAAATTCATGGGGTTGGGGAAATGGCTTAATAAGCAAGCATAATGACTTAAGTTTGGATCCTAGTACCTAAATAAAAGTTGGATGTGGCAACAGACATCTTAAACCCCAGTTCTGAGAGTGCAGAGCCTGTTGAATCTCTGGAGCTCACTGGCCAGCCAGTCTAGCTCAATCAGTGAGCTTCAGGTTGAGTGACAGCCCTGTCTCACAAAAATAAGGTCGGGGCTAGAGAGATGGCTCAGTAGTTAAAAGCACTGGCTGCCCTCCCACAGGACCTGAATTTGATTCCTAGCACTCACACAACAACTTAACCACTGTCTGTAACTCCAGTTCCAGGTGATGGAAGACCCTCTTTTGGCTTCTTTGGGAACTGCAGCACAAGGTATAACTACATACATGCAGGCAAAACACCACATATATATAAAATAAAATCTTAAGAGGTGGAAATCCACTGATGGAAAGATACTCACCACTGAACTTTAGCCTTTATGTGCATGCACAAACAAGCACATGTGCAAACAAATGCACACATCATAGATATACAGAGAACTGTTATAGATGGGATACAATCAAAAGTAGTTAAACTGCTTGAATGGAATATTTAGGTGTGTGGTGTGGTTCCAATCTGGAGTGTCATTCACAGGAATGTCATTCATGTTTAGAGGAGTAGCCTACACATCTGACTCAAAGCATGTTGTTTTGCTATTTCAGTCATTATTAAGAGTAACTCTGAAACCATGAACCAGAATAAATTTTAACTCCATTGAGTTGATTCTATCAGGGAATTTTGTCACAGTAAAAAGAAAAGTAACTCATAAAAGGCATGTTTAATGCTACTGTCAATAGTAAGATAAGCCCACCAGCCTACTAATGTTTCTGTTTGTGTGTGGTTTTTTTGTTTGTTTTTTGTTTTGTTTTGTTTTGTTTTGAGATAGGGTTTCTGAAGGGCCTCTAGCCATCCTGAGCATGGCATACATGGCTCTGGCAGGCCTTTCCCTTCTCCCCCATTCCCTCTGCCTTGCTAAAAATCATTTGATAGCATTCCTAAAACTAGCCCACCATGGTCTATTCTCTTATTTTGCTATTTCTCTTGAGGCTGACTACCAAGGTCCAGCTATCAAAGTCTTGAAGTCCAGTAATCAAAAGCCTCCTTTGGCTGCTCTAATTAGTATATCCAATGAAAATTAAACACCTCACTCTAATATGGGGTTTCCCCTTTTACCTTTGTAAACTGCCATTTGCCTATGGGCCACGTCTGTCTCCTGTTTATCCAGAGGCAGTTCTTTGTCTCTCTGGGACAAACATCCCTTCTTCATCTCCCTTGTTCCCTTCCCTTCCTTTGTCATACTCTAACTTCTGTCTTTGTCTCTTATTATTTGCCCTCTGGGGCAAATAAATTTCCTTTGTGGTGAAAACTTAGTCTTGGGGTGTCTTGTGCCAAACTGGTCCCTGTGTAACCTTGGCTGTCCTGGAACTCACTCTGTAGACCATGCTGGCCTCTAACTCAGCGTGTTTTTGTCTCCTGAATGCTGGGACTAAAGGCGTGTGCCACCACTACCACCACTACTGGGCTGATGTGCTTCTTTTATTCTTCTTGGAAAACACACTGTACACAGCATTGGTTGGCTAGTTGTATGAACTTGTCTTTTTTTTCCCTCTGGTGGTTTCTGAGTTAACAATATACATCTTTGACTTGATACCAGCCACATTCCAACAACATCACAACAGTTTCTACAGAACATAAAAACCAGTGAGACACACTCCCATGCTTTACTTTGTGAACCTGCTGTTGTATACTTCTATTTATGCAGTAACATATACTATATTATTTTTACTTGAGTACGTGATACATATCTTACATTGACTTCTATATTTACTGTTTCTGGCTGTCTTCATTCTCTGTCATATATACTTCCTTATGTCAGTACCCACCATCCAAGAACTTCTTTTGACATATCTTATAGGGCAGATCTGCTGATATATATTTCTCCCAGGTGTTTTTTAATCTGAAAAAATGTTTTTAAAAAGTTTGCCTTCATCTTTGAAAACACACTTTTAGTTGATAGAGAATACTCAGATTAAAAACTTGTCTTTTGATGAGTGGGGGTAATGCCAGCACTCCAGAGGCAGAGGCAGGAGGATCTCTGAGTTTGAGGCTAGCCTGGTCTACAGAGGAAGTTCCAGGACAGCCAGGGCTACACAGAGAAACTCTGTTTCTAGAAACAAAACTAAAATGAACAAAAACAAAGAAAAAAGAAAACTTGTCTTTCATTACTTAAAAAATATTATCCCACTATGTTATGGCTTACACAGCTCCTGACAGGAAGCCTGCTGGAACTACTGCTTTCTCTTAGAAACTTTCCCCCCTTTCCTCTAGCTAACCTTAAGCTTGCCTCACTGGCTCTGAGAGACCATCACAATGTGCCAGTGTGTGGATTTTGTTCAGTCCAGTGGGTTTGTATCAGGCTCTCTGTCTTATTACACTTTTTTTTTTTTTTTTTGCTGTCATCAAACACCATGACAAAGGTAACCTATACATGACAGTTTAATTGGGCTTGTGGTTCCGAGAGTTAGGCTATTGTGGAGGAGTGAAGGAATGGTGGCAGGTGGCCGGACAAGCAGCTGAGAGCTCACATCTTAATCCATAAGTAGGAGGCAGAGAGAGCCAATATGAAATGGTGCCGGTTTTTTGAAACCTGCCCCAAATGACATGCTTTCTCTAACCAGGCCACACCTAATCCCCTCAAATAGCCACCCAGTGGGGAACCTTGTTCAAATGCTGAGATTTATGAGGGACATTCCACATAAACCATCACATTCACTGAGCTTCCAGTGCTCTTAGTTTCTCACTCTCATCAGAACCTTTGAAAGCTGACTGTAAACTCTTTACACTTATTTCTGTCTTCCCCAATTTTCCTCACTTTCCGGGACCCCAACTACATGTATGTTAGTCCTCTTGAGACTAACTAAAGGTTAATGTTTCACCTTTGCTTTTTGTTGTTGTTGTCACACATCAGATGAATGTTTCTACATCTGCCAATGCACCTTCCTGGCATTTCTCTTTCAAGGTAGGAAACAGACTGAGAGTGGAAAATAATTTACTCAAGCTACTTTCCATCTTCACAGCCACTTTGTTTCACTAAAAAGGTACCTTGCCGCTTGCCGTCCTTAGAAGTCCTACAGTGTAAAGAGATTTTTTAAAAAATAGTTTCATTGAACAGTGTCCACTGTTATGTACACTAGGCCCTGAACCACACTGTCTTCCCACCTCTCCCAGCCCCAGAATCACAACAGAAGAACCTAGGAGTCAGAACTCACACATGGTACTCACCACATCATTTGGGAGGCTCTGGAGGTCATCAAAAGGAGTTTCCAGGGTGTTGGTGTCCACGTTCAAGATCACAACATCATCTAGGGCCATGTTTCTCACCTTCTGCAAGTAAAGAGAATCCAGAATCACTGGAACTGCTACTAGGACATAGGTTACTTCCCCTTGGGCTTCTTTACGGAAGAATAGCACTGCTGAATAACAGCTTACTCTGCTACAGCCCCAGGAATACATGGCTCACCTTTGTTGTTCTTTTAACTGTCATAAAAATTCTCTGATTTGCATGCTCACACCTCCCCCTCCACCAACAAATCTCAGGAGTGAAAGCCATTTCACAGAGGCTAGGTAACATGCCCTGAGTCAAACAGCTAGAAAAATGACACTCTGTTGTCATTGTGTGTGTGTGTGTCTGTGTGTGTGTGTATATATGTATATATATGAAAATTGTTACTGATATTTTGATTCTAGCTTCTAGAACATCAAGGTACCTAAATAAAGATTTCAAGGATCTTCCTAACAGGAGGATGGCCTATGCTTGTCAGAGACTTTTTAACAGTTGATTAAAAAAAAAAACAAGTCATTAACAGGTGATCAAAACAAAACAAAACAAAAAACATGTCAAGAAACTGAACCCTAGAATCTTTCCATGTAATGGCCAGAGTCTGTAACTCCTGTTACAGGCATTTCCAGGAGCCTGTGGATATCTTGCAAATGTCTATTAAGTACTTTCCATTGCTGGAGAACCAGAGAGATTCAACAAGAGGTTTGACTAACCTCTCTCTTCTGAAGCCCATCATTCTATTAGCTGTTGCTTTATTTGCAGGCTGGGTGTAAATGAGAAGGTGTTAATAACACAGCTGCTGACCACTGTGTAGAACTGTGACTTAGTGAACACAAGCCCTGTTTGCAGAGGAGCACACAGACTCACAGTGGACTTAGCAACCTTATCATAAGGAAGTTACATGAAGTTCAACCACAATTATCTCTACCACTAAAGCCACATACATTTCAGAGCTCAAAACTGCCTGCTCTACTGGTATTTTCTTTTCCATCAGGAGCTAGAAGGCATGATGTCACCATCCATTTCAGAGATAAGAAAGGGAGACTCCATGAAGTGATGAAGTTTGTTCATGGTGGCACATCTAACTGAGTGGCTTCACCTGTGAAACTGGAGTACATGTGTCCCTCTCTTCCTACCAGTCCCTCTAGACAAGTGGTTCTCAACCTTCCTAGTGCTGTGACTCTTTAATACAGTCCTTCATGTTGTGGTGACCTCAATGATGATTATTTTTGTTGCTACTTAATAACTGTAATTTTGCTGTTATGAATCTTAATATAAATATTTTTGAAGATAGAAGTTGGCCAAAGTGGTCATGACCCACAGGTTGAGAACCACTGTTCTAGGCTGTCATCAACAGCAGAGGTCATATATGCCCTGGGCTAGGCACTCAGGAGGTCTTATACATAGCAGTTATTACTTTTTAGTATGTGTTGACAGAAGAGCTGAAGCCTATTGGTAGCAACAGCTTGGCTTCAAAGGCTGATGATTATCATCAGAGGCAGGATCAGAGCATGGGTGAGGGACACCAGGCTGCAGGTACTGAACTGAGGACCACTACTATACCTTAGTATCTCTTGTTTGCCTCATCTGACCTTCCCAATAGCTCCAAACAGAAGAAGCAAGAGGCAATGGCCACTGGAGAGCAGTCCTGGAGATGAAAGTTTCTGTGAGTGGGTGTTGAGAGTGGATCAGAATTGGGCCTTGTTTCTGTTCCCAGAGCTGCCCTAGCAGCACAGACCAGCCCTTGTGGGCTCTCTGAGGCTGGGCTGGAACAGGCTTTTGATTTCCTTCCACTCCTGGCTGGAGGACTTGCCAGTTAAGCTGTGTGGAGTGTTTACTTTTTCAACAATGGCAGCAGGCTGAAGAAGAGGAAAAACCCTGGCCTCCTTTCTTGACTTAGCAGGCCAGGGTCCCCTTAGTAACCAAACTGTCCCCAGCACTGGGCTCCAGGCGGGAGCTGGGTCGGCAGTTTCCTCTCATGGGACAATGCTGCCCTGCCGGTGGCAAGGCCTCTTCTAAAGGGGCTGGCATGGGCTCAAGGGGCTTCCTGAAGCTCAGCGTTCCCCAGGGAAGAATCAAAGGCGGCTTGGCTAGAGGGTGCTCTCTCCTGAAAGGCTGTGGTTGGGAGTGCTGGTGGGGAATGATGGCTCCTGAGCATTAGCTCACTTCTCTTCAGCCTCATGCTGGAAAGAACCTATTATCTTCAAGGCAAAGGTGGGGGCTCAGAGACAAAGCAAACTGCCTGATGCCACACTGCTAGGGAGGACAGCAGACCTGGTTGTGGAAGAGTCTAACTCTAACTAACACCTATCTGAAACGACCAGATCCATGGACCCAGAACCCCAGGATTAATCCTGAGCACCTTTGCAGGTGGGCAGTCACAGCTAACTCTCTCTGGGCCTGCTTTCTATTGTGCAAAAATCAGACTTGCCTTTTGTAAAATAAAAATTACATATGCCTACTCTACAGAAAGCCGAAGCTTACCATTTGGAGCCATCACTCTAAATTATTTCCTTTTCTACTTCTTCTTCCCTACCTCTGCTCTAAATCCTTTGCACTGCCCCGCCCCTCAGTTTTCACATTGATTACAGCATAAGCAATGCTCCACTTCATTAAAAGCTAAGCGACAGTTACTAATTGCTCCAGAGTGTTTTGCTACATGGAAGCAAACTCAACCAAGGACACTTGGCTGAACATTACCTCCAGTGTTTAAGACATTAATATATATCACATGGTCATAAAGTCTGAAGGCTGGAAGCTCTCTGCTTCAGGACAGATTCCTAGAAGTGGATTTTAGTACCCATTTCTTAAGAAGTATCCCTGGTGAATTCAACTTGGAGATATATCTTTTCTTCCAATTATTTTAAAGCCATTTTATCCACAGCTTGTGTTTCCTACTCTAAGTGAAGAAAAATCAGCAAAGACATGAGCAGATGTCAAAATAGTCCTCCAAAAATCCTTCCCAATTAAACACTTACGAGTACCGCAGCACACCGAGACAGCTCTCCGGTAGCTTGTCCCACCAACACATTCCCTCTCTTTTTAGTTACAGCATATGCCAAGGCTCCTGCCAGCTGCAAACCCTTCCCCCACCAGACTCCATAGGCTTCTTCTCAGAATGAGAAGAAGGGGGAAAAATCAACAAAAAAAACCCCAAACAACATTGATATACATTGTCAAAATGACATTTTTTTTTAAAATCCAGAAACATAAAAACAGCAGCACCTCATCAATATTATTTATTAAAACATTATCTTTCCTGTGTGCTTTTGTCACAGTCTTAGCTTGACCCCTTTCTTTGGGCCAGGCAAGGGGCAACTTACAACATATAAAAAGCTCAGGAGTAGCAAAGAGAACACCAATTTTATAAAAGTCCCATTTAGCTGATTCAAACCATGTGGGTATCCTTAAGCACTGCATTAGACAGGGCATCACAAATCCACCAGGTTCCCAGTTGGTAAAAGAGAATGGGACAATACTAGCTGTATTCTCATTGTGCTGTTTAGTTTTATGTCAACTCAACACAAGCTAGAGTCGCTGGATAGGAGGGAACCTTAAGTAATGCCTTCATGCTGGGTGGTGGTGGTAGCAGTGACCGCCTTTAATCCCAGCACCCAGGAAGCAGAGGCAGGTGGATCTCTGTGAGTTTGAGGCCAGCCTGGACTACAAAGCTAATTCCAGGTCAGCCAAGGGCATACAAAAAACCATGTCTCAAAAAAAAAAAAAAAAACCCAAAAAACTAGAAACCAAATCAAACCAAACCAAATCAATGAAATGCTTCATAAGATCAGGCTGCAGGCAGGCCTGTAGGGCATTTTTGTATTTACTGATGGATGGGGGAGGGCCCAGTGCATTGTGGGTAGTACCACTGCTGAGTTGGTCATCCTGAGTGCCATAAGAAAGCAGGCTGAGCAAGCCATGAAAACAAGCCAGTAAGCAGCACTCCTCCACAGCCTCAGCATCAGCTCCTGCCTCCAGGTTCCTGCCTTGCTTGAGTGCCTGTTCTGACTTCCTCTAATAGTGGACTATGATCTAGAAGTGTAAGCTAAATAAACCCTTCCTTTTTCAACTTATTTTTTAGTCACGGTGTTTTGTTGCAGCAACAGAAACCCTGATTGTGGTATTCAGAGATGCTGATGTGTGCTAAGAGTTTCTGCATGATTTCTATAACTTGGTGACTCTGGGCTCAGGCACTCTGAGAGCCTGTTGCATAATGCAGTTATTAGGACCTAGCTTCCCACAATCAGAACAACACACCGACCTAGGATTACCTATACAATACTTACTCACTGGTCCTCTGCCCTGTTTCTGGGTTTCCTACTTTAGTTTCTACCCCAATATTTAGCCCACAGCAGAAACTTCTTAAATGAATGAATGAATAAATGAATGAAGGTGGGGGATGGAAGAGAGATGGATCAGAACCCATAGGTGAGCAGCACAGATCCCACATCTAGTCTGCCGAGTTCTGTCTAATCACACCAGCTATACCAACCTGGGCAAGTCAATCTTTCCATGCCTGTTTTTCTTTCTTCTGGGTTCGCATAAAGACACTATCCTATCAGGCTGCTATGAGTATTAAATGGGCTAACATTTAAAAATTATTTAGTGCATGGCGCACAGGAAATGCAAGGTAAGTGTTTGTTAAGTTAAAAACTAATGTTCTTTTGGGATTAATAGGAATGTGCCAAATCTTTATTATGGTGGTAGCTTTCAAACTGTTAAAATTCATTGAACCACTGTTTTAAATGGATGGTTTGTTGACATAAACTATACCTCAGTATAGTTGATAAACTCATCAGAATGATATCCAGAACAGATAATAAACTCATAGTAGACCTGGAAAGGCAAGGGTGGGTGCATGATTGTGAATGGGTACTCAGGACAAAGAGGCTACCCTGAAGACTTTGACTCCGGAGCCTTTTATGCCAATGTGAGAGCTTTAAAAAATGTTTGCATCTTGTGCCCTCTTAGAATATGTCTAAATACCTAATGTCTGGGAAGGGGATTGAGCAGTTGATGAAATGGACTCACAGCAATACCATAT